GTCCACGAGCATGAATCCTGCTTGTACTTATACCAACCTGTTTACAATAAAAAAAAATTAAAAAAATCATATTTCAAAAAAAGAAAATATTATTAACTTATTATAAATTATTAATTTTTAATACCTCAGCACCAAGTCCAAAACGAAACCCATCACTAAATCTCGTACTTGCATTGTGAAACACAACCGCACTTCAAGACAAAAATAACAATTTACTTTCATTTTTTTTTCTCCATTATAATATATTTTTTTAATTTCTTTATATTATTATTAATTTATTATACCTATCAACTTGACGAAGAAAAGTATCTGCAGCTTTATGGTCTTCTGTGACAATACAATCAGTATGTGCACTACAAAATATTAAATATAATATTATATTATATTAAGAATACGAAAAAAGATTTTGATTAGAAAAAAAGTTACATGCCTTTCCATGTTTGTTTATATGATGAATGGCAGCATCCACGTCATCCACAACTTCAATTGTGCAAGACATTGAACTGTATTCATGATGAAGTGAAGAAGCTTCTGGAAGATCTAGCAACAACCTTGCTTTTGGACCTCCATAAATATTAATACCTGAAATATATAATCATATGATTAAACTAAAATCATTAATAATAATTAAAATTATAAGGTTTACCTTTTGTGTAAAGATCTTTCATAAGCTGATTAGCAATACCATCTTCGAACAAATCCTTATGAAGAAGAAGTGTTTCCTGTTTTAAAAAATAAAAAATAAAAAATAGAAAATAGAAAACATCATACAATGTTTTTTTTAAAAATGAATAGTAATACGGTAATACCATAGCGTTACATGCAGATGGGTAATCTGTTTTTGAATCCAAAACTACGTTTTCTGCCATTTCTATATCGGCAGATTTGTCAAGATAGACATGACAAATTCCATCTGAAAGTTTAAAAAATAAAAAAGATTTATGACATCATCGATGCCGTCATCATTAGAAATTAAGATTTAAGATCATCTCACCAGCATGACCTAGAACAGGAATTTTGGTTGAAGATTTAATTTGGGAAACAAGTTTGTTGCTGCCTCTTGGAATCACAAGATCGATTACATCATCAAGCTGCAGTGGAATCGGAATCAGAATCGGAATCGGAATCGGAATCGGAATCAGAATCGTGTATTTCAAACCTTAAGGAGTTGAGGAATCTGTTCGCGAGAAGTCACAAGTCCAATAAGCTCTTTTCCAATTGTTTCTGGGATTACTGAAGTAATAATCTTGAAATTTGAAAAAAAAAAAGAAAAAGAAATTAGCAACAATGAGTTGATAAATTTAGATTGATTGAATTTACTAAAGTAACCTTGTGCAAGATAGCATTGGATCGTTTGGCTTCTTTTCCCCCTTTAAGTAGAAGCCCATTTCCGGTTCTAATAGCCAATGATGCTATCTGTTAAAATTATATAAAAAATAAAAAATCAAAGACTTGAATTATTATAAGTGAAATAATTGGAAAATTATTAACATAGAAAAGGGCTTCCATTTATATAATAATAATACCTGGACTAGTGCCTCAGGGCGAGACTCGAAGATAACAAGAAGAACCCCCAAGGGCGATGTCGTCTTTTCCAAGATAAATCCATCTGAAATCTAAATTTTGAGTAGCAAACAATATTTAAAATGCATAAAGTAAAATATGTTTCCTTATTTTTATAGAAACCAGAATACCAATTTTATACCTCTGTCCTTTTTAATATTTGTCCAATTGGTTCTTCCATATTTGCAAGCACGCGTATTGCATTTGCAAGACTACCAACCTATAAAAAAATTTATAAATTTATTCTTCAAGATTCAAAAGAGAAGGAATATAACAATATTAGAGTTTTCATTAAAAAAAATATGTATAAAAAATTCAGTCATGACTTACCTTTCTAGGCTTCAAAGCCAATCGAGAGATCAATGATGTTTCATATCCAAAATCTTTTGCACTATTTATATCGGCTTTATTTTCATTTATAATCACTTTCTCATTTGCCTCTAAAGCATCCGCTATATCCAATAAAATCTTGCTCCTTTCTTCTGAAGAAATAGCCTGCAATTAAAAACGTGACAAAAAGTTATTCTCCGAGCAACCCCTGGCCCACACTGTCCTGTCATGTCAACAGGAGCATCATGTGAGATGTAGATCAGATACACAGTGGCCCATTAGATGGCTCAATATCCACATTGGAATTAAAACTATTATTACCGCAACTGCTGAGACTCAAACCCTTAACCAATTGTGGGGCCCACCTGAAGGCGCCTAGAACTATCTCTTGCTGAAATTGCTATCTCACGTGCATTTAGCTCTTTACTTGACACCCATGTATGAGCATCTTTATGGAAGAGTGTTCCAATTTTTTGTCCTCTTAGAACTTTAACAATATTATCTCCCGAAAACCCACTTCAAAGACATTATAATAATATAATTATATAAGTAATTAAATACTTTTTGGTTATGAGTTTAAAAAAAAAACAAGAATAAACCTAGTTATAACAACAGGGATGCCACCATTGGAGGCATAGACAGCAGCTTTGACTTTAGCAATCATGCCACCTCTTCCCAACCTTGACTTATCACCAAATGTAATTGTGTTTTCAAGTTTCTCTTTAATGTATGTATGGATCAACTTTGACTTAGGGTCACTAGGGGGCCCACTATACAAACCATCTACATCACTTAACAACACAAGAAGATCGGCTTTTAGCTCCAAAGATAATAAAGCTGCTAAACTATCATTATCCCAGAATATACCAGAAGAATCCTACAAGAAAATAATTTCACATACATAAAGAAAACTGTCACCGTCAGAGTTCAGGGTTTAGGGTTTAGGGTTTTGAACAGAACAGTGTACCTCGTATGGAGCTTTTCTGGTGCTAACGGCGTCGTTTTCATTAAATATGGGAATAACTTTTAAAGATAATAAAGAAATAACGGTTTCTGTAAGTTGATTTCTAAATTCTGGGTTTCTAAAGTCGTTATCAGTGACAAGAAGCTGAGCTGGTGTCACATCTAGCTGTAAAAGTGTAAGTTCTTCTCAAGTTGTTGTATTGTATATATCATAAGTTAGTAATAAAAGAAAATAAAATGGAGAAATAGAATTGACCTGGCTAAAAAATGTATCATAAAAAGCCATGAGACCATTTTGTCCAACAGCTGCACATGCCTTTCCATCAATTTCAACTTGTGGCTTCTGAATCTCACCAAACCTTTAAGAAAGAAGAAATGTAAAAGATCCAAAAGATTTACATATTGATAATACAATAAGGTGATAGATAGTAAAATAAATTAGTGAAAAATAGTAAGTTATAAGTACCTGCTGTTGATTAATTTTCTGTGTTTAAGGCGTTGTCTACCAGCTCCAACAGCACCTGATGAGACCAAAATAACCTCAAATCCTTGAGAGTTTAGTGCTTGAATCTGAAGTTAGGATTTGATAAATCACATGAGTATTTTCTAAGAGCTTTTAGAAAGAAAATGGAAATTTTAAAGGAATGTTGATTATAAGTTAATAACCTGCTCACAGAGTGCCCCTAATCTTCCAAGTGCAAGTCTTCCATCATTTTGGGTGACAACAGCAGTCCCCACCTTAATTCCAAACCATAATCAGTTCATAATTTTCAAAATTCTTTAAGAATATATGAATATGTAAACACATTAATGTTAGAAGAGTTGTAGACAATCAAAATCTGAAATAGAGGACAAAAATAGGAAAATTTTGAAGTCAAATCCATCAGAAAATTTCACGATTAACCCAATTTCAAGGTCTTATTTCACATCCCCATAGTCATTTTCAGTAGATTCTTCATCTCAATTCAACACTAAACACGAGAACGAAAACTTCTTAACTTGAAACACGGAAGAAATAAACCTATATCCGCTAATAGAAACTTACATTGCTATAGAATTCACACACACACACACACAAAATGAAATAAAAACAGCCACAGGTAACAAATTTGACGAACATTACGTGAAAAACTTATGTAATTTAAGAATCATATATAAATTGAGGCGAAAATGAATGTAATTAGTTAATGGTGACCTTGATGACGATTCGCTTAACATCCTTAAGAAAAGCACGAGTTGGATCAACCGCCTCCATTGTCAAGAGGTTAAGCTCGTATACAAGTAGCTCTTGTCGTAGGGTTTGTAGTAGTTTCCCGCGTATAGTTACAGAGGCAGGTATTTATATAGAGAGAGAGCAGAGAAGAAAACCATGAAAATGGGGGCAAGCTCTGACTCTGAGTCGTGTGCTCAAATAAAATTATATGGGGGTTAGGAGTACAACTGAAACAGATACAGCTGTCGGAGTTGACCAAAGAGAAGATGAGTCATCTCAAGATATATCTGACGTGGACATGATATGGTAATGTGAAGGAAAAAAGGAGGGATTTATTTTTGTTCTTTTTGTCGTTTATTTTTTTGGTTCTAACACTTCAACGTGCAGCGCAAGTTTATATTTTGGAACCGGGATTTTTTTTTTTCCTTTAAATCACTCAAAGTTATGTTTTTCTTTTTCTTTTCTTTTTCCTATTCAAAAAAGCAGTTTTTTTTTTTTTGGTGCAAAAAACAGCTAAATTTTTTTTTTTGGTTAAAAACAGTACAACTATTTATGAATGTTATACAAATCGAGATAGGTGCTCTTTTGCATGAGGGAGCACGAAGTTGTAGGTAGACATGGACTTGGTCAAGGAAAAAACTTTAAAGTAAAATTTTAAATTTTATTTAATTTATTTATTTTCTAGCAATTTGTTGTTTTAATATTAACGATTTTGATTTTATTCTCAAATTTATTTCATCTTATTTAAAAATTTATTGGGAATTATATGGTAGACTTTTTGATAGAAGACTTACGCAAACAATATGATGAAAGCAATTGTTAAAGCAGCTGAAAATATATACGATGACCCATTAGCCTTAAATACAAAATAAATAAATAAGATTTTAGTAATGTTAATGTTTTTGTGGAAGAGCTTTATCTAGAAACTGAAAAGTTATTTAAAAAAAACATATATATAAGTCGATAGTAAAATTAAAAAAATAAAAATTCGAAATATAAAAAGAAATAAAATTTTTTGTCTGAGCCCGGGTTCGAACCGGGGACCTCTAGTGTGTGAGACTAGCGTGATAACCAACTACACCACCCAGACAGTTTTGCTAATTTTAGCAGCGTGACATACTCAATCTTATGTATGACATGTAACGCTTATTTTTACATGTATAGTAAATTCTAATGCAAAGCAATCATGGAAGTGTCTTAAAATCACTTACTTTGTTCGGTTTGGTCTTTTATATAAATAAATTACATAATGATGGTTAAAAAATATTTCACTCCATTTAACATATCCGTTCCAATCAAAATTCAAAATCCCATGGATACAAAAATATAAAGAGAATTGATATTGCAATTTAACTATTATCAAATTGTTTTCATATAACTTTTCCCAAAACAAAAATTGTTTTATAGAATTTTTTCATGGTTTTAGAAAGCTATACGGGTCATTCTTAATTTTTTTTCCTTTTTTTTAATCAACAAATATAATATACTCTTAAACCTTCGACCTCAAAGAGGGTGAACATCACCTGATACCGCTATACTATAACCCATTTGGTTTCAAAAGTTGCACAGATCGTCATTTTGCGTCACACCGTTTTTTAAGCCGTTTACTCTAGCTAGGTTGTCACAGAGTCAAGTTCGACACTACTTTTTGACTATGTATCGTCCTGAGATCCCTTATAAAACCCGAAAACTAGCCCTCTCACATACACATGCAAACTGATTTCATCATGCCATTTAGTCATTAGGGAAACAACACTAGCTCTCGATCAGTTGTGTCTAACCCTCTACGATCCCCTTCATTGTCTAGCTCTTCAGAGACTCGGCCAGACGACATCGACCAGACTAATAAATTCCCTTGGTCTAGGTGCCCCGTTTTAAAGTTAGTGACAAGTTAATCTCGCATGGGCTTCATTAGAAACATGTTTTTCTAACAAATGGAAGATTTTATTAGAAACTACTCAATTAACAAGCATAAAATTACATAATAATTAATACAATTCAAGGGGTTTGGTAACCATGAAATCCAAGGAAGTTAAATTTTTTGTTCCTTGAGCTAAACCAATCAAAAGTCATCATCAATGTGACACCTAATTAACCTCTCCAACCAAGAACTATACATATTATAGTTTACTAGTATGCTTGTTTGAACTGTTACTGACTTGAAGAAAAGACTCAATTATCTACCAAGTTAAACATGTACCTTAAAACGGAGTTTTATAAACAATAAACTAACATCTTTTTAAAAGAGTTGTTGAATAGATTTGATCTCTTACAAAAGCATAAAAAATCCTTTAATGTGATGGTTATCACAGGTAAATATTTACACAATATCATTGTTTTCAACTTGTATTCCCCCCGTTAAAAGCATTTAAAAACATTTAAAAAATTGATTATAGGGGTATGAACTCACCTTATGTGGGTGATTCAACTTGCAGATTCGAGTAAGGATGAGAAGTTCCACGAATGAAGTCACAAGACACAAACAAGTCCTAAATGACATATATTGATACATATATGTATATAATTAGTGTTTAAAACAACTAATCATGAAGGGAAACAACCTTAGGAACTAGGAAACACTCACAATGGAGTGTTAGAATCACATGTGATTGATCACAAGGAGTTTACGGCCGAGATCTAGGAGTTCACGGCCATGGGAGGGTTTACGGTCCAAGATCCTTTGAAGGGTTTACGGCCCTATGAAGGGTTTACGGCTGTAAACCCTTCAAGATCTTGAAGATCTTGCACAAAGTGGTTGTTTCATGGGTGGAAATCAAGAGCTTCTAATGGAAAACAAGTAGATGAAAGAGCTACTTACAATTTGGAAGCTTTTAGGGTGTTCACGACCCAAGAACAAGTGTGTGTTCTTGGTGTTCTTGGTGAATAAGATGGTGATTTGAAGATCTAAACCCAAAAAGAGTTGAATTCACGGATGAAATCAAAGGGTTTCACTTGATTAAGAAGGATATCAAGTAAATATGGAAGAATAACTTGCACTTTTGAAGATCAAGGACGATATCCCTGATGATACTTGAGAGAGAATGGGAGTTCTTGGTTGGAAGAAGTAAGAAATGAAGAAATAATGAAGTAAATATATCCATATAGAGAAGTGATTGCGGCCGAGGAGTTCACGGCTGAAGCCTCGTTTACGGCCGTGAACCGAGGGTTCACGGTCCGAAGTGGTTTACGGCTCGCAGGTTTACGGCTCAGTGTTCACGGCTGCAAGGTTTACGGCTGCGAGGAGTTTGCGGCCATGCGAAGGTTCTTGGTTCTTTTAAAGCTTTTCTCTTCCAAACCTTAATACTCTTAGTTAACTAGGCTTCAACACTTATAACCCAATAAACCATCTAATTTAAGACCATGGAAGGATTAAGTTTGACCAACGTTGACTTAACGAGAATAAAAAAATTTCGGGTTGTCAGAGTAATAGTAATGTTAGAGCTTTTTAGGAGTTGATCTTTGAGAAAAAAAGGGACAAAAATATATTGGGATAGAATTTTAGGGTCGGTGGAGTGGGGGTGGAATCTAATTTGTGGTGAATACACGGTAAATTATAATTATATTAAAAATAAAATAGTGAGGATAATATAGTCTTTTTATGTCTATTAAGGATACAATATGCATATTTAAACAAACGAGGGATGAAACGTGCAAGTTTTAAACATACGAGGGATGAAACATGCAAGTTTTAAACAAACGAGGGACGATCCTAGCAAGCGTGCATGACATGTGCGAAAATTTAAACGGCAACCACTAACGGCCAACGACGATAGGGACTAACCGTGTAAGGAAATGACAACTCAGGGACGGTCCGAGTTAATTTTTGAAAATAGAGACTGGACATGTATTTTGACACCTACACGAGGGACGATTCGTGTAATAAATTAATTTTTTTTACCTATTTGCCTATTATAAGTTCACATACATACACAAAACATTTTACTACACCAATCACTCATTCTATTTTACTAAAAAAATCAACCACGTTTTCTTTGAATCCAAGATATGGAGCAAAAGCAAAACACCCTTCCACCAAACAAAAGCACATCCGCTCCGACGGGTTTCGCGGCATACGAAGGATATATGAACCTCCTTAACTCATAAAACTCACCACAAATACCATTTTAAGGAAACTTGTTCAATCCCACCTCACCACAATGCGATTTCCTACATCACCCTACATGTAACAAAACTCAAACCTTCAACAAAATCTTTTTACTATATTTGCTTCCATGCCACAAACAACTACACAACCAACGCAAGATACGCAAGCGGGAGGTAGTCGAAAAGGTCAGGGGAAAGGGAAAAGGAAAGGGAAAGCGATCACGAAAAGTGAAGAAGAACCTACACTATGGTGGACACCGGAGGAGGAGTATGCGTTGGCGGTGGCGTGTTGTGGGACTTCAAAAAATCCAACTGTAGGAAATGATATGCGGAGAGTTGGTTTTTAGGAAGTCGTGCTCGGAAAATTTCACGCGATTTTGAAGAAACAACCATATCACAATGTCGATATGCTTAGTAGAAAGTGGACTTCAGTCAGTCGTCAGTGCACCAAATTTAATGGATTTTCATGAGAATTTCTTCGCAAAAGCAAAGTGACGCGAATGATTTCGACGTGTTCAAATCCGCGGGGGAACAATATCACGTTGAAATGGGACACGCTTCCGAGTTTGAAAAATATGAGAGATTTTGAGAAAAAAATCTAAAATAGATTAAAGCGCAAACATCGTTGGAGGCATAATTAAAGAGGTCTCTCAATTCTAGTTCGTTTGACGTTTTCGACGCACGAACTAACATCGACCTCAATGTCGACACGAATGACATCACCAACGACATCGAAGAGTCTCCCCCCACCACCACGTCGACCGGTTGGGCGCAACAAAGCAAAACGCACTCAACGACACACAGACAAAGTCGGGGGAAGGGCATAAGAGTTGGCGGATATGAAAGAAAAAGTTCGACCAACACAATCTAATCGCACAACAAAAGGTTGAAATGCAACGTGAACACTTGGAGTTCGTTCGTAAGCAAGCGCAGGAAGTTCAAATGACGAAGAATTTAACAATTATTCAGACTAGCGAGGAAAATATGAGACAACGTCAAGTGCAAGTGCTCCGAAAGATGAATGAGAGGATTGAGAATAAATATTTGGATTATGACTATTGTATTGTTTTTATGTTTTTAAATTAGGACTATCGTATTTTTTCGTTTAATGTTTTTTTTAAATGTTATTTTTAGTTTTTAAATGTTATGTTTTAATTTAGGATTTAATTAAATTGTATCTCTTATTTTTTTTATAAATATTATAACGTAAATAAAAAAAACAAATTGGAAAAATTGAAAAAAAATTGAAAAAAGAAAAAAAATCGAAAATAAACGTAGACATGGAAAATTGGAAATTAGTGGAGTGTTATAACATGTTGTCCATTTCCTCACTTGGTATTATAACAACATTGGGTGACATGACATGTGGTGACAATGTTTAGGTGTAATAACATCTATTAACTAATTGCCACACCCACTAGTCTAAACAAAAGCCGCCACAGTAACACATTGATTTTTATAGGTACGTATCGGTTCCACCTGGTAGGCGGTAGCTGTCAAGTCAAGAGTGGATAAAGTCGACCCGCATCAATATAGCACCTAACCTCTCCAACCGAGAGCTCCTACTCCCACAAACCAGTGTTACGTTATTAAACTTATAAGTTATTATCAAGCACATTCGTTGTAACAACTATTGTTTGGTTCAAAAATTAGGCTAACAAATTATTTGTTTTTTCTTGATAGGATACTAAACAATTCATTCCAATTTGGGTAACGAACTATTTTGTTGTCAATTTGATTTTGTCACTAAACTTAATTCTATTCGTCATTCAAGTCTCTCTCTCTCGTATACATACTTCTCCCTGGGAGACTCCCTCCCACTAGAGAGACGTGATTTAATTTGATTGTTGGAGGCTATTCTCAGAAGGGACGACCTTAACAATCTCTATTTTATGTGTACTTATCAGTTACCAAGTCGGAAACCCTCCAATGATTAATAATACGTACACTCGAGATCAATCTTGTGTGATGATCGCTATTGGTATCTGTCAAAATGCATAAAATCAACCCATAAATAAGAAGAAAAAAACACTCTCATATTATGTCAAGAATTCTTGGATACAATTACAAATCAGAAAAACTCACTCTAACCTATACATCAAACTAACCTATCTCTCAAAAGTTACAAACTTAAAGTTTCTGAAAGAACCTGACAAGAAAGTACAGAGAACATAACCGATAGATTTAGGTTTGTGAAGAGAGAAGAACTTATTAATCTTCCAAACCCTAGGTGAAGGCTCATATGATCATATCTATATCACAACGATTTACATAACCAGCACCTCTATATTTCATAAAAGGTCAGGTAACCTTCAACTATCTTCATAATGCTATGTAACCCTCCAAGTATGTCAAAAGATTGTCCAAATTTAAAACAGCTACAAGCACAAAATCTTTACAGGTCTCGACTCTACTGTAATTACATGAAGAAACAAGTTTATTAAACTATAAAAGAAGCAGTTGAATTATTTCATCATAAATCAGTGATATTTGATGATAAAGTGTGAAAAATAAATGAAAAGTTCAGTCACACCTTACGATAGATATTCAGATTATCAGATATACAATTGATCATTCAATAATGTAAATGAAATTACAATGAAAACTCTCTTCCGATAGACTTAAACATCGCAAAAGCTGATCACTTTCTCGAGTTAAAATTTATAGGAACACCAATAAGAGAAGTCATAAGAACATTAGCAGCAATTTTCCCCACATTCGCAAAAGTACTAGACTTATTCCCTTGCTGTTGCTGCTGCTGCTGATTGATCATCACCGGTTGATTATTATAACCACCGAACTGCTGATTCTGATAACCACCAAACGCCTGCTGTTGTTGCTGCTGTTGCAGTTGTTGCTGGTGGTGGTGGTTGATCATCACAGCTTGATTATTATTATTCACTCCTTGATATCCACCAAAACGCCGGCGTAGATGCACCTTGTTGCTGCAGCTGCTGGTGGTGGTGATACTGTTGGTGGTTCATCATCTGCACAGGTTTACCATTATTCGTTCCATGATAATCAACAAACGCCGTCGTCGACGCAGGTACTCCTTGCTGATGCTGGTTCATTATCACCACCGGTTGATTTTGATGATGACCACCAAACGCCGTCGTAGGTTGGGCCCACTGCACGCCTCCTTGCTGCTGCTGACACGGATCCACCTTCAACTTCGGGACTCCGGTGGCCACCGGGATCTGGGTACAGAGTGTGTGAACGTCAAACTCACACGTCTGACAGGTGTAGCTAAGCCCGTCGGTGAAGCCTTTGCAGACGTCGCAGAAGTGTGAGGTTCCTGGGCGGTTTACGAGGACGATCTGGTGGTGAGGGTGGACGTGGGATTGGAGACGGTAGGGCGCGGTGGCGCAATGTTCATGGAGGTCAAAATTGCAGGCGGAGCATCGGTATCTTACGCCGTATCCTCGCGTCTTGCAGCCGTCGCAGGTGAATTCGAAGGCCATGAATAGTTTGTGAACAGGGTGTTGATGGGTAAAGTGGTGGATCTGAAGTTGATCGGGTTGACGTTGAGGTTGAGGTGCGATTGCCGACGTCGATCTCTGCAATGGCGCCATATCTTTGTTCTCGACTGCAAGATGAATGCTAATTATGGAAATGATGTATGAAAAGTTGGTTTATTACTTAAAAAGAAGATACAAATCTTTATGCATGTGGTACAAATCGTATGTAATGATTAGTTTAATTGCATGAGGGAGTATACAATTGTAGTAGACTAGTAGACATTGATTTGGTCAAGGAAAAACCAAAAAGGAAAATTATCCATTTAATTGATTTTATTATTTATGGTTTAGATTATATCCTTAAATTTATTCATATATTTATTGGGAATTGAATGGTGGACTTTTTGATAGACGACTTGTGTAAGCATTGGGTGAAAGCAACTCCTCAACTTGTGATGTATGGTAAATCAAGGTCAATGAAAAAAAAAACAAAATGTAGGAACATTTGATCTAGTCATGTTAATGTCTTTTTCGAATATATACGAAAATGAAATCACTCAATCAGAGTATATGTAGTCAACAAAATGGTTATCAAAATTAAAAAACTGAATAATATCTAGTCGATGAATTGGTTGAGTATTTAAATTAAAAAATGGTAAAAACATTTGTCTGAGCCCGGGTTCGAACCGGGGACCTCTAGTGTGTGAGACTAGCGTGATAACCGACTACACCACCCAGACAATTTGTTATTTAGTTTGTGTCATACAATATTGTTTGATCAATCGTTAGAAATAAAATCAAAAGTCAAAATCACTTAGTTTGTTGGGCTATAACTATAAGTTTTATATCTTTAGTAAATACAATAATTTGCTTACATTATACTATATGTATGATCGTTTAAAAGACTTTTCAGTTTTCACTCCAATCCCCATGTAACGTTTTTCTTCCATCAAAAGCCAATAAGATAATAAAAATAAGGTGTTATTTTGGTTTTTGAATTATGTATTGAACTAACATTGTGCTATTAAATCTCATTAAATTTTGGTTCATTGTTACTTTAAGAATTTGTGTTTTTTAAGGATAGAAGTTTTATTAACTAGCAAGTGTTATATAAAGAATACAAAACATTACATGACAAAATAGCAAGAGATAAGCCATTCCAAAGAAAAAAAAACAAGAGTTGGATTTTGAAGCTATCCAACTAAGTTTAGGGGTTGTTTAATATAAGGCTGACCGGGTCCGGTCAACAATTTTGGGTTGATTGTAGGATGAGCTTTAGAACCGGACCGGTTTTCTTATATTATAAGAATCGGGAACCGAACCGTCGGTTCTAGCGCCGGTTCTAGTTCCCGTACCGGTTTTTCGGTTATTTTTCAAGCTAAAATCAGTTGAAATGTTGTAGATGATATGTTATCTTCCGGAGCCTGTAAATGATTTAATATTTAACCAAATTGTGACTTTTTACATTTTAATTGAAGTACAAACACTAAATTACATGATAAAAAAAATCAAGTAATTCCGACTTCATATGAATGAGTTATAGAAAACATTTTATATTTTTTTGTCCAATCTCGTGGTCTTTACGTTAGTATCATTATTAGCATTTTCATGTGTTATAGAAAGCATTTTATATTTCATGCTTAACTGTTCATTATTTTAATTAAAATCTCATATATTTGTCACCAACGTGCATCTAAGGGACTGTTTCAAAAGCAAAAATGTGTTTTGGCATTAACCATATATTTAGATTGATGCAATGTACCATGATGCAAATATATGATACGCCAACACTTTGTGGAGCGGTCCGAACATCGGGAGTTAATCAGTTAATGAGACTCTACCCGCAAATCTAGCAAAGAACTCCTAATATTCCCATGGTTTTTTGTTAATTTTTCACTGTAATGCGTTTTAAGGTCATGTCACTTGTTTGCAATGTTTTAAAAATCGGGTTTTTTAGTTGAACCGGTATGGTGACTGGTTCTGGTTCGACCGCCTGGTCAACCGGTTTTTATATTTTTCAAGTTTTTTCCTATTTTCCTACATATACATACATTTATAAATCATGAGCTAACTCCCTCATACGGTGATGTCCGTGATAAAAACTTACCACTTGTACCCATGGCATTTTTTCGATGGAATTGTAGAGAAATTTAGAGAAGTTGATGGAATTTCAGAGAGATTTAAAGAGGATCCTCTAGAGAAATAGAGATTGTGTCGAGAAATAAGTTGTGTAGCGGTGGATATTTATAGGTGAAGTTTGGAAGAAAAAAGAAGGAAAAAAACAAATAAATTCAACTACTAGCAGTTGGAAGAGGACAAGAGGTAGAGAGACGTTGGGCTTGGCTGATGCTTTGCTAATTAGCAATCGGTTTAGGCCGGTTCAGACCGCCTAATCTTGTTGATTTCTTACATTTTGGACCGGTCTATGACAAGTTTGGACCACATGCTGCAACCAACTCTAGTTTGAGACCTGAATACCACGAATTGGGACTGGCTTAGGGCTCACAAACTCTGAAAAATGTTGGACTACATCTGATCGACAGTTTGGACCAATTTATAACTTGTTTAGTCCATATGCAGTATTTTGGACTAGTCCCAAGACTAATATTTTATACATGTCCACATGACTTGTCTTGTCGAGCTAAATGATATGACAAGCAACCTATAGTTTTTTTGGTTAATTGTCAAGCCCAAATTCCTTTCATTTAGGGTTTATAGTTATGGTTTTTTTTTATTCTACTAAAATTTTGACTATATATATTTGCTTTTATCTTAATAAATATTAAATATCATTACCAATTTTCTCTCATAACACTGTGTATTCTAGATTTCGTTTTATAACAACTTATAACTATACAAATAACACTACCTAAAATCCAGCTTTGATAGTACATAAAATGGTTATTATTATTTTTTTTGAAACATAAAATGGTTATTGATGTGTAAAATATTCGTTCCAAACAAGTGGCTACCTTACTTTGTTGATTAAAAAAAGGGACTTTAGGGTTAATTCTGCTACTTTTTGTAGCATTATGGATCCAAAGTGACAATTTTATATTTTGGTAGTGGACAAATAAAGTGCGTTCCTTCCTCTCTTCCACACCAAGCCAATCTTCCACCACCCTAACCGCAATCTAGCCACCCACCAACCAGTCTTACCCCTACATCTCATCGTCGTCTTGTTTCTGTTATCACTCTAGTCTTCTCCTCTTCCACCTCCATTGATTTCCCTATCTTCACTTCCATTAATTCCTCTCTTCGCATATATTATCAGCAGAATCACATCACTCTGTTCTTAATCCAGGTTTCGGAAGCTCAGCCAGTGCCCAATCAAACATGGCACAAGGTAATTTATCTATCTCGTTCTTACGCACTTCATTTGTTCGATATTCAATCGCTGTAGCCTTCAATTTGAATACATGTATTCAGTTGACGAATTAGCAAATCAAGTCGAGTTTTCGATCCCACACTTTGTCAATTTCAAAATTTTAGATTTAAAATTATATGATTTTTTGAGTTGTTAGTAAAAGTTTTACTATTTGGTGTCGGTGAAGATGGTGAATGTGGATCCAATGAAGCGAGTAGCGTCTCAGCTTATGATGAAGCAATGGACGCTTTATCGTCTCTGATTACTCAGAAAAGTCGTGCTGATACGAGCAACAGCGGCCATAGATTTGAGCTACTCTTCGATTACGTCAAGGTGGATATTAGTTGCTACTAACACATAAATTCGTTTTGGAATATGAAATTACTGTTTAATTACTTATTAGCACTCCTGATTTAAGGCAATCTGATTTCTCTTACAGATTCTGGATTTGGAGGAGTCAATTTCAAAGATGAAGATCATCCATGTAGCAGGCACAAAAGGAAAGGTAATCTTTGATCATTAACCATTTTACTTTGAAAATTTCTCCAATTCAAAGTAGATGTAAGGTCGATTTTATCAATAATGCTGGTGTATATTTGGAATTTCTGTAGGGATCAACATGCACATTTACTGAAGCAATACTACGCAATTGTGGGTTTAGAACAGGGCTTTTCACATCTCCACACCTTATTGATGTTAGAGAAAGATTTCGGCTGGATGGGTGAGTTTTTCAAGTTTTTCAACTCCATAATAGTCATCACACAGATATAAACTTATAATGTATAAGCTTTTTTTTTTCTTCTATATCTCTTTAACTTATAATTTTTGGTCATATGCTTCAGAGTGGACATATCTGAAGAGAAGTTTTTGGCATACTTCTGGTGGTGTTGGGATAGACTGAAGGCATGATTTCTGATTCATAAACATTCTGAATGTAATTATTTATATCTTATATTAACTACTCATTCTGCTTCTTCAGACCTTTATTAATGGTTCCAGTTACTTTATTCTTTCATTATCTGTACCCTTCTCTTCTCAAATTCTTTCTTAATTTATTCTGTTTTATATATGCAGGAAAAATGCAATGATGATATGGATATACCAATGCCAAATCTATTCCGTTTTCTTGCTTTACTTGGTTTCAAGATTTTTGCAGCAGAACAAGTAGGTAGCTTTTTTTTTTTTATCAACTCCATTCCTTTTCTAGAACAAAAGAACAACTTCAAAAAATAATAATTTCATACTCAAAAACTTGCATTTGAATGCCAGGTGGATGTTGCCATTATGGAGGTTGGACTAGGTGGAAAATTTGATGCAACAAATGTGGTATGCACTCTTTTAGATGCTAACTTTAAACTTTAAATACTGAAAAGGGATTTGTTATAAATAGATACATGTAAAAATCTAATCCAAATATGGTACATGACTTTTCACTTTTCAGGTTCAAAACCCAATTGTATGTGGTATTTCATCTCTAGGGTATGACCACACTGAAATTCTAGGTTAGTTTTTGACATTTTTTAATTTTATTCCTCAATTTAAATACTACATACATATTAAATGTGTCTTATTAAATTTGAGTAGGAGATACTCTTGCACTAATAGCAGGGGAAAAAGCTGGTATCTTCAAGGTACTTCCCAAATTTTCATTCATTTGTCAGCTAACAGGCCACTGTGTACCTGATTTACATCTAACATGATGCTGACAGTTGAATCTGTACTTATTTTATGCAGAAAGGTGTTCCTGCTTTTACTGTTCCACAACCAGATGAAGCTATGGAAGTACTTATAGAAAAGGCTTCACAGCTGGATGTAATTTTATACTATCTTTTATATTTCATATTTAAAACTTGAAATTATGGATGTAATATGAAAGTTGATTGGTATTACAACAGGTGGCACTTGAAGTAGCAAATCCATTGGATGTTAAGTTATTGAATGGATTAGATCTTGGGCTTGTAGGCGATCACCAGTATTTGAATGCTGGACTTGCCATCAAGTTATGTTCAACGTGGCTCCAAAGAACCGGTCATTTGGAATTCGATTCCATTGACCAGACTGTAAGTCTGATTTTAGGGTTCAGGGTTTAGGGCTTTTTATTTCGGTTAATCTCTTATATTTTATGTTTTTTCTGGATTAAACTTTATTTTTTCCTGAAAAAAACCTTGTATTTTTTCATTTTTTCTGAAAAAAACATTATTATTATTATTATTATTATTTTCGAAAAAAACCCAAAACCTTGTAACTGTTTCCGAAAAAACCCTCAACTTTTTTAGTTTTTTTCCGAAAATAAACCTCACATTTTACAAGTTTTTTCAGAAAAAAATGACTAAAAGGGTCAAATCGAAAAAAATGGTTAATCTCATAAAAGACCTTATATTTTGTGTTTTTTCCAAATTACACCTCAAATTTATTTTTTGCCTGAAAAAAATTGTAAAATGTGAGGGTTTTTTCAAGAAAAATTAAAAAAGTTGAGGGTTTATTTGGAAGCATTTAGAAGGTTGAACGTTTTTTTTGGAAAAAAATACAAAGTTAAGGGCTTTTTTGGAAAAAATGAAAAAATGCAAGGTCTTTTCAGGCAAAAAATAAATTTGAGGTTTAATCCGGAAAAAACACAAAATATACGTTTTTTTTAGATTACCCCCAAAAAAAAATTGTAAAATGTGAGGGGTTTTTCGAGAAAACTAAAAAAGTTGAGGTTTTATTTGGAAGCATTGAGAAGATTGAGGGCTTTTTTGGAAAAAATGAAAAAAATGCAAGGTCTTTTTTTGGTAAAAAATGAATTTGAGGTTTAATCCAGAAAAAAAAAACACAAAATATAAGGTCTTTTATGAGATTAACCGGGGTAAAAAAAAATGAAAAAATGCAAGGTATTTTTCAAGAAAAAATAGATTTGAGGTTTAATTCGGAAAAAAAGCACAAAATAAAAGATCTTTTATGAGATTCACCCTTTTTATTACAAAAAAAAAAATCAATTATTTATGTTTGGATATACAGAGTTCACTCCCTCAACAGTTCATCAAAGGGCTGACAACCGCAACCCTACAAGGACGGGCCCAGATCATGCAGGACCCGTCACTTGACTTTGAGAATCCGGGATCAATTGTGTTTTATTTGGATGGGGCCCACAGCCCTGAAAGCATGGAAGCTTGTGGAAATTGGTTTTCTCTTGCAATCAAAGAACCTAATTTGTTGAAAAATAATAATGCTGAAACTGTCCCTATCAATCCTAGTGAAAACTCAGCACAGGTTAAGTGACAAATGACAATATTTTATTTGTTGATTTGTTGAAAAATATTTAACTCATATAAAAAAAATGCAGATATTATTGTTCAATTGTATGTCAGTGAGGGACCCACAGTTGCTACTTCCTCGACTATTGAAAACATGTGTTGGTCATGGTAATAATTTTAATTTTCTGTCTTAAAAATCATTATTTGTAGATGAAAAAAAAAAGAGAGTAAAGTAGGTTGATATATTCAGGTATCAACTTCAATAAGGCGCTATTTGTCCCAAATATGTCACTTTACACCAAAGTGGGGTCCACCACCTCTTCATTCCCACAAACCGAATCTCTAGTGGATGTGTCATGGCAGTTAACACTTCAAAGAGTATGGGAAAACATTGTATCTAGTGAAAGAGGTATTATATCATTTACAAAGTTGATTGTTTTGAAAATTACTTAAATGCCACTGTGCTCTTATTAATGATGATATTCTCAGGGAATAGTAGTGTTACAGATAATGCGGAGTATAGTGAAATAAGTGTTGTTAAAAGCTGTGAAAATAGTGTGGTGTTTGCATCTCTTCCATTGGCTATTAAGTGGTTAAGAGACACTGCTAAACACAATAAATCTGTTCGACTCAAGGTAATAAGATATATATATATATATATATATATATATATATATATATATATATATATATATAATAAAAAAATGATCGATTGATTGAATATGTGTATTGTGGGTGTATCAGGTTCTTGTAACTGGTTCATTGCATTTGGTGGGTGACGTCATTAAATTACTCAAGAAATGAGTTTTCACAAGCTTTTGTTGTCTCCATATGTTTAATTCTAACAGACTTGGTAATTATTCGAGAGAAAAAACATACACAGCAAAAGGACGATTTTGAAAGTTATTATATATATGTCATGTATAAGATGGGGTTTTTTTATTGGTAGTTTCGTGTTCTTGTTGTTTTTAACTTTGAATTGCTGTTGTAAGTTGTAAGATTAAATTTGAATTGTTACTGTAACATTTGATTTTGAATGAATTGAAATCTACTGGGAATTTGAATTTGGTTGGCAAGAAAAAAGAATTCTTTCAATTTTTTTTTTTTTTGTAATTTTGGAGTCAAAAAAGTAGATTCGATACTAATATTTGAATTCAAATTTTCAAATCCTGTCAGAAAAAACAATTTTTCGACATGCTTTTTGTTAAAAGAATCATTGAGTTTGTAACTAACTCGTAACGAAGTTCGAAAATGGTCATTTTGGCTTGTTTGGAAAATAACGGTCTTTTGTGATATTTATTTATGGAAAATTTCATTTTGGTATTTATCATAAATTTTATTGTGAATTGGATAGAATATTTTGTATTAGCTTTTCGATTTAGTTTAAAACCTATTATTTGGTGTACCCAAAAGATTGAACAAAATCAAGATGACATAAACCAAGAATACCCAAATTGCCCTCTCTGAATTAGTTTATGAAACAACTACAAGTTGGTTTTAATGGCAATTTTCCAAAATGATGAAAGCATTCACAATGTCTACTAAAGCTAAATATAGACAGACACATTCAATAGAGTAAAAGTAAGTAGTAGCATTTTAAAACACAAATTTTCTCCTCTTCTCCCTCATTCTTCATGATTTCTTTCAAGCTTCAACACAAATAAAATGCAACGGTTGATTGAATCTTCTTAAAACTAAAAGCAACACCCACTTTTTGTTTTTCTTCTCTAAAACCAACACATTATCTGCCAAAACATAATTCAATTAAACATATCATCTCCACCACTTTATTTATACTAACAAAAACCAACACTTAACACTATAAAAGATATAAGATTTGAGATTTGAGCTAACCTTGGGAAATACACTAGGCAATTGAAGTGAAATAATGCAAGAATTTTACATCTTTGTAGACATCAAGAACTTGTTTTCTTTTCAGCTGGCTTAAGGATTTGAAATGAACACATCAAATTCTCATCCACACTCATCATTGCACCCGCATTATCAAACTCCCCACAATAATTTGGAGCCGAAAATATTGTAACAAGTTGCCTATCAGCAAAAAATTCATACCCATCTTCCACAACCTAAAACACCATAACACTTTTACTCAACAAATCAGAATAAACAAATAAATGTTTATGAATTGATGTTTCTTGATTTAACCTATAAGTCAAAAGACGAATGAGCTACAAAACCTGGTGAGCACGACAAACAAGATCAAGATCATGTTTTGTCAAAAATTCTGACACCCTTATCGGGACCAAAAGTATAAGAAACCCCACGATCATTCATCCCCCATCCTTTCACATCTTTACTAGGATCCGACCACAATAAATCACAAAGCAATCCAGTGTCGGGAATGGCAGTTGGTCGCTGTAAGTTTCTGATTTGATCCAAATCGGAAAGATCGGGGGAGAGTCCACCATGCATACACAAGATCTTATCATCGACAAGTGCAGCGACAGGGAGACAGTTGAAGCATTCTGTGAAAGCTTTCCATAGCTTCACATTGAATCGGCGCTTACATTCATCGTAAAACCCATAAATCCGGTTTATTGAAGCGCATTCATGGTTTCCTCGGAGAAGAAAGAAGTTTTCAGGGTACCGGATTTTGTAAGCAAGCAAAAGACATATTGTTTCCAGACTTTGTTTGCCTCGATCGACATAATCGCCGAGAAAAAGGTAATTGGATTGGGGAGGAAAGCCTCCGTATTCGAAGAGTCGTAATAGGTCGCTGTATTGTCCATGAATGTCGCCTGAAACCAGAAACAAAAGGGGGTTAATTATGGGTTAGAAATAAAATCCCCCCATTTAGCGGAAAACCCTCAATCGAACACTCGATCAGATAAAGCGTAAAGCAAAGTCAAAGCATCAAAAACAAAATTAAGAAAAGGAAACAACAAAGATCGGTTGAATGATTAAACGCTTGAGCATTAAAGAAATGGATTCAGAAAATACCACAAATCTTGATAGGGGCTTCGAGTTCAAGAAGATTAGGTTGTTTCATAAAGATTTCACGAGAGGCAACACAAAGCTGCTTGATTTCAGCCTCTGAGAGCTGCACCAACTTCCCTGGTTTAGTCGATCGAACTTCAATTAACCGTTCGATTATCCTATCGAGGGCTACCGGGTCCATTATCAAAAGTTTGTTTAAGAATCAAAACCCTAGAAATTTTCTTTGAAATGCTGAAAGACTGCGTGAATCGAAACGGGTCAACTAGAAATTGAATTTGTTTAATCTAAGAATGACGAAGAAATTGGTAGATAATTGTGTTGTGAGAGAGAGGTGGAAGAAGAAGAAGACGACTATCGCTCCATTTTACGAAACAAGTTGAGGAAGGGTGAGACTCAAATGTGACGGCTTCGCCAACAAAAGTGTGCCATGATGTGACTGGTTATATAAATATAAGAGGGTAGTAGTTGATTATTTCGTGCAAATTTAGATCCTTTAAAATAATATGTCAATATTTCAAAGACTACCCTAAACTTTGAGAAAATTACACATGCCTCTCTTTTATATCATATAGGAGAAATTCTTAGGCCATAGGTATATCCACCATACAATTACACCAAAACATTGTCATTGATTTATTTTATCACAACGCCCATACTTTACCAATTTGGCATACTAACTACCCCACATCACCAAATGGCTTCTGGCCCAAAGGTATCAGGTGTTGCCCTCGTTCTTGAGGTTGAGGGTTCAAGTCTCGTCGTTGACATATGTAGATTTAAGGAGTAGTTTATGAGTATATTATATTTGTCGTTCAAAAAAAAAAAACTACTCCACATCATTATTGTAAAGTCGAACCTTAGAATCTGATGAGGTAAAACCAGGTCACGCTGACTTCCATCAGTGCAAGCGTCTCATCAGCGCCAACATGAAGACTTAACCGACATAGCCAATTTCAGCATGATGATGTTTTATAGATGTATACGTATATAGTTAGTTAGCATATCTGATATCTTCGGGATATCAGATATACTCTGTATTTACATAGATTAGGTTAAATCCCTAATTTGTAGGGATTTTCACCGACTAGTTATTACTATAAAATCATGTATTCATGGTTCATGTAATTTACCAATTCACGAACCCTAGCTTTGTGCTTGTTCTCTTGGTGAGAACATTCTTAGTGAAAAACATTTGTGATAAACCCTTTGTTCTTTGTCTTTTCTGTTAATCGATCTTGATTGGGGATCTCACAACTGGTATTACAACAGTTCATTGATATCGATTAACAATGTCTTCTTCTTCATCCAGTTACTCTAAAACCACTTCTGGTCATAAATCCCACAGTTTAATGAGAAAAACTTCACCATGTGAAGTCAAAATCCATGATGATCCTTGAAACCATGAACTATTCCATGATGGATATCATCAAATACGATCCTCATGTTCCTATGTATCAGCCCATGAAGGATAACATTAAGGAAGGTGAAGAAGTCGAAAAACCTGCTCATGGGTTCAATGAAGACGACAAGCGTCTGGTTGCTCTTGACGTCAAAGCTCGTGTTGCCATAGGTAACGCTCTTCCCTATGACATCTACCATTTTGTTCAAAATTGCAAATCTACCAAGGAGATGATGGATACGTTGACAGTAGTGTATGAAGGAACTGATGAAGTTAAGGCTGTCAACAACACAATCTAAACCAACGATACGAGCACTTTTTCCAGCAGAAAAATGAATCTCTTACTCAAGCTTTCAATCGCTTTAATTGCTTGGTGAATAAATAAAACTAGAAACTCCTTGGTTCTCAAGTTTCTGGACTCACTGAGTGATAGCTAGGAACATCATGTTGATGTTCTAAAGAGCAATGAGAAGATTGCAACCATGGATCTATTTTCATTGTTTGGCAATCTTCGTAACTATGAAGAAACGAAGCTCTTATGCAAGGAAATTATGCGAGACACTCACATGAACAGATATGTGGCCATCTACTCAAAGAAGTCACTCCCTAATAGTGACAACAAATTTTCTGATGAATCCAAAGGTGAAACTTTGATAGTAAAACGTTAATTAGCCGAAGTGACAAGAAACCATTTGGATCCAAAAGGTTTCCACCAAAGTTTGACTCATCGGCATCTAAAGGCTATGTCGCTGGTAAGAAGACAATTGTTGAGAAGAAGGAAGGACCAAAGTGTTTCAACTCTGTAGGCACTGATCACTTCACCATGGAGTACAAGTCCAAGAAGGTGGACGCGAATGCAGATTATAAAGTGAAGTATAAGAAGTTGTTGGCCCCTCTAAGAGGAAAAACATTGATGTGAAAATGTCGGTAGTAGAAGTGGAAAACCGGGTGGATGATGAAGAATCACTTGATGAAGATGAAGGAAAGGACAAGTGTTTGATAGCACACACTGATGCATTTTTCACTGATGAAGGGAGCATCGACTCAAGTTCATTTGAAGCGGATCTTGCTAAAGCTACTAAAGATTCAAAGATGCTAGATTGGGACTCGTCATCTCTGTATCAGGTCAACAAATTTGCCAACTATTCTAATAATGAAAAATGCATGATATTTGATTATTTGTGTCTTCATCTCATGAATGTTAACCAAGAAAATCACTCACTTAGACTAGAAATTGAGACACTGACAAATAAATTGATATAACTGAGAAAATTCTTGCCCTAACAAACATTAATGTCACGAGTGTATCTCTTACAAATATCGACCTTCACTCTAAAAAGGATAACACTGAATTGCATGAAAATGAATTACAAGGTATAGTTAATAATTGGGCTCACTCTCAACATAAGCTAAACAAAATAATTGATGCCCAGATACCTGATCGTTGTGAGAAAATCCTTTGTGGAAAGATTGATGAGGCCGTAGAAATCTATAAACAAATTGAAGTTGAGCCAAATTTTTCTACACTTAGTGATTTTGAAGATGACTTTAAATCTAGGTTTGTTAACAATACATGATTTAGGATCATATATAATCTTTAATTATTGTGTGAATGTATGGTGGATTCTAGACCAATCATTTTATAGGAGTAATTTTGGAGTTTTAATAAATAAATTAATTATTATCTGATTTAAGCTTTCCTAAATTTAAGGTAACGGGTTATTGACACCTATAATTAGTTATCTAGGGAACCAATATGCCATTCAAACCATTCGTATTTGTCGTTCATCGCCACCATATGCACCGATAGCAACAAAGCGAGAAGGGGGCAGGCGAGGTCGTCCCTCATTTCGTTGTTCATACTTTATAGTTCCAAATTGATGCAAGTTTTTATACGGTGATTTGCATTTGTAACCTTTTAACACCGAAATTTCATATGCATGAGGGAGATGCATTTGTTAAACGAATTCAATAGAGAAAGATTTTCTTCAAAAGTTTGTTAATGGAGAGGGAGAAGCCAAATATATTTAACATCCTTATAGGTTTCTTCATATTGTCTAGGGCAAATAATTATTTATTTGAATTTTTATATACTTATTTCCTTTGTTTTTTTACTACACACCAAAATGTCACGAATGACATAGTCAAAGCAATCAAAATTGACATTGCTGACATGTTAGATGTAAATTACGACGTTAGTTTTACTATTTGATGCTTAAAACCCTTTTCATATTCTTTTGGATCAGTAGAAGGATTTAGACAAGGAGTATGTAGGACGAGTTACCAAGAACACCCAGAGATATGTTGGAATTTTTGCTAAGACTAATGATGAGTTGATCCATGAGCCAACAAACAGAGGCTTATCAGGAATACAACCTTGACATATTACTTACACAATGAGCCAAGGAAGGCAATGAGAATGCTCATGGGACTGAACCAAGACATAATATGCCTCCAGAAATTATCCTTTTTAATAAGTATAAATAAATGTATTTTTTTCTTCATAAATTAGATTCATTGTCGATATTTTTTTATAGGTGTATTATCCGTTTATGCATAATACATCATGGAAACATATGATAGCTTGATGGATCCATATTATATATTATATATTTTGTTTGGGAAATTATGTTAACGTGCTTGTTACAAGTTAGTTTAATATGCTAATTGTTTTAGAAAAATTAAGTTTTGTGCTAGTTACATTTTTTTGCCAAGTTTCTAATGCTCATTTGTTTGTAATCTTGTGAAGCTTACATCAAAGTTTCCTCCAAGGTCAAGGAATTTACTATTAGGGAGGTTTGGGCTTTATATGTTGGCCAACGTTTTAAGATATCTGGCCTATAATTATAACATGCTACCTACCTGTATTTAGTGATTTCCAGTGATCCTCAAGTCTGTCTTCTTACATGAAATGTTACAATGATAAATTTCAGGCCAAACTTAAAAAGCTTACTGAACATGTTCTGAAAGGTCATATTCCTCTGAAAATGACTATTCACTTTCGATGGGAATTTACAAGAAGTGTGATTTTATAGTTAACTACTAATATGAAATTTAGGTTGTTGCATGTTGGTCTGTTCATACTTCACAGTCAGTTGACTTATTGAGTGGTTTAATGGTTTTGTTGCTTAGTTGGTTAACTTTGTACATTCTTTAATTGTTTGTCTTAATCACTTTGTTGCTTAGTTGCTTAATGGCTTTGTTGCTTAGTTGCTTAATTTGTTCAATTCTTTAATAGTTTATTATTTAATCATTGACTTTCTTTTTGTAATGTTTATGCATTGAATTGTTGACTTGTTTTCGCTTTTGTTATTTACAATGTGACTTTCTAATTTATATGATGTTGATGTTGAATTTCTAATAGTACTTTTATTTGTGTAAAAGGAAAAATGGAAAAGGAGAGAACAATGATCTTGGAAGCTTTTGGTGACGACGTTATTAGATTCATTTGGAGAAGACGATGAACAATGCTCTTTAAGAAAGAAGCCTTAAAGTTTGATTCCGTTGCATACTTTCTCACAGAATGTCAATTTCACAATGTCATTCTCAAAGAATGTTTCATTTCATTGAACTAGTAATTTATGTATAATTCTCATGAGAATATCATTTTTGCACTTGTAATTTATGTTCATTCTTACAAGAATGTCTTGTTTTTGTACTTGAAATTTAGCTTCTTGTTTATTTCATGTCCCATTTTTTAAGAATGTTTTATATTTTTTTAAGAATGTTAAATTATTCTTTAAAAATCTAAGTTATGCATTTGTAATTAATTACTTATTTTTCAAGAATGTCTTTTCTTATTTTAATAATGTTAATATTACTCTTAAAGAATTTTAGTTTTGAAATTTTAATTTATGTCTTATTCTTCAAGAATAAGAAAAAATGATACGAATGAAAGTTAATTGTATTATTGGAAAACGTTCATGAAAAGTTAACTTTTAAAAATGTTAATTTGTATTTCTTTTTAAAAATTTGATTTAAAAATTTTCCTGAAATTTTGGTATGTATCCATTCATATCCAAAACTTCCTAATTTG